CAAATTCAGGGTGGCATGTCCACAGTGTCCCCAGCAGGCGAGGGCAGTGGGAATGGGAGGGATGTCTGTCATTCTCTCCCCTGAGGCGCCTGATCCGTCCCACAGACAGAATTTCTGCCCACTCTTGGACAGCTCAGGAGGTGTTTGTCTCAGAAGTATCTTCCTTCACTGCTCTTCTTGAACGCTCATTTAAATCCCTCCAGCTACAGGTCTAGCCTTCCTGGGTACGTGAGTGGGAGAGGTTTCTCAGCAGGTGAAGCAGAAGGTGCTTCAAAGCAGAAAGATACTCAGCTTTCACGCTGAGGTACAGGTGGGCGCTATTCGATTGTAGAAGGAGCTAGAAGTGAGGCCGCCTTACGGAGGGTGCATTCGGCAATATACAGAGCAGCTTGCGGGGCAAAAGATCCTTCAGACTAGCCACAGAGAGGGATTTGTGAGGGCAGGAGATGGGGGCCACTTTAGATGACCTTTGTCCCTGTGGACAGTCCACTGACGAGGTGGGCACTGTCCCGAGCACTTTCCCGATGATGTGAGGAGTAAGTTAAGGGTCTCGTGGAAGCAGAGAACCCTTTGCTGCAGGGAGCTCCCAATCCCACTGGGAAGACTTAGGCCCTACTCTCTGAAAGAAAGGTACAGAGGTCTATGAGAGGGTGTCAAGAAGGTTAAGGGAAAATGGAATTAAAAGATAGTGGAGTTTTCCCATACACGTTTGAAGGCCTCTCGCACACACACACACACACACAGGGGAAGGGCAAGAGAAGACACAGACATCACGCTGTGAGCAACCGGAGCGCCCGCTCCGCGTGACCACAGCGCTTGGGCAAGGTGCTGACAGCAGTGGTTCTGCTGCAGGGCTTGGGTGGGGCCCGCTCCGGGAGAAGCTGGTTTTTGTGTCAGGTTTGAATGTAGGGAGAGGGCTTGGCTGGGAAGAAGAGAAGGAATGTTTCAGGTGCGGTGGGTGTGACCTGTTTGAGAGCTTGGAGGTGGGAGAGGGTGAGTCACCCTGGCCAGGGTTTGCCCGTCCCCATTGGAGGGAGGTTCTCCACACAGCACAATGCCGGAGCTGCCCCCATCTGCACAGCCGTGGCTGGCGAGAAGGCTAGGGTTGCCAGAGAGAGTCTGTGATACTCAAGGGAAGCAGGGGGGCACTTCCTGCGACACGCTCCCGGGTCTGGTTTGGGGCCATGAGACACGGGCATCAAGTGGGACACGCTGTGCGGACAGAGTGACCAGTTCCCCTGGCATAGAAGAAAAGCCATGGACTCTCTTAGACATCTGGCCTTTGACCTGGGGATTCAGAGGGAGAGCAAACCCCCCTTAGGAGGAAGCACGCGTTGACTGTCCTGGATGGAATCCACTGCCTCTTTACGCACGGTGTAGGGGCTGTCTGGCAAGGACAGTGCGGAGGCAGAGACTTGGGTGTGGTGTCAGCTGGGGGCTGCGGTTCCCCCCCACCCCACATCATCTTTGGGGCCGAGAAGCCTCCTCACGGGGATGGCCTTGGAGCATTCTGGGACTGCTCGCTCTTCCCTGATTGGGGGGTGGGGGGAACTGGTGGAGTCGAATTCAGATCTCCTTCTGTAAGTAAGTAAGTGGGGAACTCAGCCTCTCTCCAAGCATCCAAACACCTTTACCATGGGATGGACAGAAGACAGGAGCTGACCTGCACAAAGAGCCAGCTCAGGCTAGTTTGGCCCAGCCTCATCCTGAGAATGGAACACTGTGCCCCAGATCCCAAGAGAGGATGCCCCAAGCACCTGGCACTTACACTGCCCCAGAAGGAGAGGACAAGCCACGATGGCCGGTGGGGGTGGACCAAGGAGGCATCCTCCAAGAAGAATATTCTGGAGAAGTCACAGGGCCAACAGGAACAGTGGGAGCCTTCAGACTTATCCCCAGCACACATCAAGAAGCGCCATTTTCTTACCTTTGAACTTGATTTCCTGAGGGTGTTACTTACCAGCCAGACACCCCGGGGTAGGGAGAGGGGAATGTGGGGCAGTGTTGTGAACGAGGGATTGTGATAGAGCTCCCCTGCTCCTCTTGGCTATGCGGCACCCAGAAAGGTGTGGCCACAGGTATGTTCCATCTCTGGATCCCTCCCACCAGCACCAGGTGCAGTGTTCCGTCTGCCAGAGGAACCGTGCTGGCTGGTGTGAGGCGGCCTCGCAGGGCGGACTGAGGAGCTGTGGGACTGGCTGACCACCACCCCACCCCACCCCACCCCACCCCCACAGGTGGAGCTTAGCAATGGCCTCCATGGCTTGCCTGGAAGAGCCCAGAAGCCTTGCCCCACCCCCGGGGAAATAGGAACTGGCTTTTGGAATGCTAAGCATTGTCGAGGTCACCTTGTCCACCCTACCTTTGTGGGAAGAGAGTCCATCACCAGCACAGGAAGACAAAGGGATGGGAGGGAGGAGGGAAAGGAGTTGCTTCAGCTGGCTGACCGCCAGGGAGGCGGGGGACACAGCAGACAGATTCTCTCTCAAAAGGGGTGAGGCTGGGAATGGGGGGGTGCTTCTCCCAGCAGGAGGCCTCCCCTGGGTTCTGTGGAGCTCTTTGTCTGTCACCACCCCAGATTTTCCATCCAGAATCTTCTGGCTGACCCATGCGTTCCCTTTGGTGAGAACCAACTGCTCACTGAGTGAGAACAAAGCGAGTTTGGGCCTGCCAAGCACTGGGGCGATGGTTGACGCTGGCAAGATGGCAGTGAGGCACATGGAACTGGTTGCCGGCAGCCCAGGGCCCCGATGGGGCTTCCCCTGAGAGCTGGTTCTGGGGGTTCCTGGCCTGAGATTGCCTCCAGTCCTCTCCTGGGGAGGGCAGCCTCCCAGAGGGGCAGCCTTTGAAGCTGGGCGGGTCGCAGACACCCTCACCCAACAGGAGCTTGGAGAAGAAGTCAGGGGCCACATGGGCAGCATCAGGCTGTCCCCTCGAAAAGTCCCTCCTGGAGCTTTGAGAGTGGACCAGCAGGGGCAGGGGCTTCCCCTCCCCCAGGGATCAGGGTCATCAGCCCTCTGATGACCCCAAGACAGGTAGCAGAGAGACCATGGGAGAAGTCTTTGACGTGGGCCCTTCTTCCCAGTGAGCAAAGCCTGCTCTCTGGAGAAGGGACGTCACCCTCTCCGGGTGAGGTCCGACACGGGCCATCGTAGTCACCTCACCGTGGGACACGGGAGTTGCATGTGAGGCCGACTCCCCTCTTCACAGAAGAGGAAGCTGAGGCCCAGAGAGGTGCCCGTCAGGACCATCTTCAACCTCTCTTCCCTCCCAGGGGCAAGTTCTCTCTGCTACAGCCCAGGAGCTGCCGTAAGGCTCAGTTAGCCCCCCATGGTGGGAGGGTCAGGGCCAGGGCCCTGCCTTGTAAGCGGTGGGATGGACAGCTCACTTTGGGAAGAGGAGGAGGTCCCAAGCTGAATGTCTGCCTCATTGCAAAGCGCCCTTTTGCTATTCCTGAGTCCCTGAAGACTCGGTTCAGAGGCTGCGGGCTAGGTGCTGAGCTGCTAAACCCAAGGTCGGTGAGCGATTCCAGCCCAGCAGGCGCTCAGCAGGGCCACAAAGAGATCGGCTGCTCCTGTAAGGATCCACAGCCTCCGGACCCTGTACGGGCTTGCCATGCACGAAACCAGCTCCCTGGCAGTGGGTCCGGAGAAGATGGAACCTGAGTGGGCGTGGCAGGTGGAAGGAGGGACTGACCTAGCAGGCCGAGATGGCCTTCAGCCCTCTTCTTCCTAGATGAAGTCTCCATCACTTACGAGACACCGACTCATCAAGACCCAATAGCTAGCCCACTGTTGGCTAACCGAAAGGTTGGCGGGTCAAGCCTGCCCAGAAGAAAAAAACCCACCTCTGAAAAATCAGCTGTCAGAAACCCCGTGGAGCACATGCCAATGTAATGCACACGACTTCAGAGACTGAAAAATAAAACAGAAACCAAGCCAGGGGTCATGTGTGGGTTCCAGCTGAGTGCACGTGTCTCCGAGGAGAGGCGCCTGATACAGGGCGTTCGAGGGCTGCGATCTTCTGAAAGTAGACCACCAGGCTCTTCTTCCACCGCCCCTCTGGGCAGATTGAAAAGAGCCACCCTCTCTGTTGGTAGCTAAAACACTTAACCTTTTGTTAAGACGCACCACTCAAGATTACCAAACTCAAACTCACTGCCTTCGAGTCAGTCTGACTCACGGCCACCCTGTAAGAGAGACCAGAACTGCCCCTGTGGGTTTCTGAGATGATAAAGTCTTATGGGAGGAGAAAGCCTCCTTTTTCTCCCACAGAGAAGCTGGTGGTTTTGAACTGTTGAGTTTGTGGTCTGCAGCTCAATGCAAAACCACTGCACCACCCGGCTCTTCTCAGAACTTACACCATTCCCAGGGGCCATCTTTAACGAGAGGACCTGGTGAGGGGCAGGCCTTGCTTGGGGTGTCCAGATCACAGAGAGCTGCCTGGCCCCCCGAGGAGTCTGTGGCACTGCTGAGGGGCAGGGACAACAGGCAGGATGTGACTTGGAGTACAGCCAGCAGGAGAGTATGTGTGTGGAGGGAGAAGAGATTGCCTTGGGCAGGACCGCTCAGAAAAGGCTTCCTGGAAGGGGGAGTTCTGGAGCTTGGCTTGGAAAGATGGGTGAGATTATATGGCTGTGGCCAGGGAGGGGAGGCAGGCTGCACAGGGACAGAGCGAGCCGAGGCCTGGAGATCCTGGGGCACCTGTGAGGGCAGAGAGCAGGCCAGCCTGCCTGGAGATGGGGTGGTCCGTTCTGCCCCCAGTGAAGAAGACACCCAGTGAAGGAGGAAAGGGGGTGGCCCCACCAGGAGCCCCAAGTCCAGTTCTGCTTTCTGTAATTCAAGGCCCCTTTGCTGCTAATAACCCTAATGACACTCCGTCCTCCCTCGGAGCCTGTCATTTGTGGGTCTGCAAACACGCTGAAAACATTAATTAATCCTCACGGAGGCTCTTTGAGGTTGGTCACTGCTCTCTCTTTGGCCAACCAGAGCATCTGGGAGATGGAGGAGGGGGTGGAAAGTTATCTGGTCGCTTGTGGGGGCCGGGCTGAGTCCTTCCTGCCCGACGCAGGCTGGGACCAGCCAGTCGCCCTGCTCAGTGGACCTGGGATGTCGAGATCCTGCCTGGCTTTCCCGGCTGGGAAGCTTCTGTTTGTGGAGCGTGGAGTTGCGATACCTTGGAATGGAACAGTGGTGCTTGAAGGTCCTCCGAGCCAGCTCCTTGCTGGTGGGTGTCAATCGGACTAGACTGCCAGGGCAGCCATCAGGGCCCCGGAGAGGGGTGGCCCCGACTCTCAGAGCTGTCTCTGGAGCAGTCTCCAGCACCGGCCTGGCTGTGGAGGAGGTGGCAATTGGATGGAGGTGCTTCCTGAGGACATCCCCTCCAGGAGCACAGATGGGTCTCCTGCGTGGGGATGCAGAGGTGACCCCTGGGGAGGAAAGGTGGTGAAGAGCATGCCACTTGCCCTCCTAACCCCATTCCTTTGCCCACCAGGTTCTATGTACGACGGCTTGTCTGACAATTACAACTACGGGACCACCAATAGGAGCACCTACTACTCCAAGTTCCAAGCAGGAAATGGCTCCTGGGGATATCCGGTAAGGAACTTCCCTTGGAAAGACTTGCGCTGCCCCTGGGATGGATGAGTGTGGAGCTCTTGGGTCCCAAAGAGAGCAGCACAGGTGGGAAGGGGCTACTCTGGCCTGCGAAGCAAGGGGTCGCTAATTCTGGTCAGGCCAGGTGCTTGACTGTTGGTTCATCGGTGACTCTTATCACAACCTTGCATTTGGGGTGGTTGGATCTTTCTGAATGTCTCCAAGGAAAGCGTTTTAGACAAAGGCACAGGGGAAAACATCAAGGGCGTGTGTTTTCATTTTTTTATTTTGGGGGGCACGTGTTTTTAAAATCCCTTTAAATGTCTTACTTGATCATAGATATAAGAAAAGCGTGACATGTTAATATCTTATTTGTAGACTAACTGAGATGTTTCTAGGGAATTCCTGAAGGCGGGTGGGCCCTCTGTTCCTATGTGCTAGCACAGTGGTTCTCAGCCTTCCTCATGCCTCGACCCTTCCATACAGTTCCTCATGTGGTGGCGACCCCCCAACCATAAAATTGTTTTCATTGCTACTTCATCACTGTCATTTCACAGGGAGACCCCTGTGAAAGGGTTGTTTGACCCCCAAAGTGGTCTAGACCCACAGGTTGAGAACCGTTGTGCTAGGGGCCCCTCTGAGACCAAGAAAGCAAGCCCCCTCAGTGCCTCCTGCCAGCTGGAGCAGAACTTGCAAGAGTCTGAGAGTCAAGCAGACCTGGGTTCAGATTCTGGCTCGTGAGCAGGTGACTGCAACACTTGGAGCCCAGTTTTGTGACGAGCAAAGTAGCTATTGCAGAGTCGACCTGCTGGGGTCCCTCCTGGATCGCACGAGGCAACGCGCATAGAAGAAGCCTGGTGCGTACTGGCCCTGAAGAACGGTCCGAATGGAGATGGATAGAGATGACTAGCTCCGGCATCTGCTGTCACTGTCTTCTGATGCAATCTCAGACTGTTCCCTCAACCTGTCCACCTGCTTGTTGAACAGGTATCTGCCGAGGCCTAATTCTGGGCCAAGCATTGTGCTCGCTGCTCTTTAGACAACCTGAGAAGCCAGGGCACTAGGGTTTTCTTCTGTGAGGCTAGATGGTATGCGGAGTTTCTCACCATCCCGTTTGAAGACTTCCCCTTCCTTGATGTCCGCATTAGCTCCTGGGGGTCCCTTTGAGAGACCTGGAAGACATGGTGCGGATAAGGATCAGGGTAACGACTGCCTCTGCATGGGAAGTTGGGTACAGTCCCTTTCCGTGACATGTGCTTTGAGCCAGCGTTGCTCGTCGATGTCACCCTGATTATTAAAGGTCCCAGGGCCCCGGGCAGGAGAGGATGGATGGTTTATAGGCCAGGTGCCCTTGCATCATTAGCTTGATTCCTTCCTTCCCGAGGTCTCGTTGGGGCTCATTTGGGAGGTTCCATCTGGCTTACTTGTTATTGGTAGAAGACTAAAGGGAAGGAGTTAAGTAGGTTTGCTGCAAATGGACCTCCCTCTTTCTCCCCCACAACCCCTGCCCCTTCATGTCATGTCAGTGGATAACCTCAAGGTCACATTAATATAACGGACAGAGCCATTAAGCTGGTTGATCAGACACGGCGTTGACACACAAGGTGGCAACCTCGCGGACTCAGGAGGTCACGTAGTGATGCAATTGTTCAGATGCAAGAAAGACAGGCCCTGGCCCAGTGGTCAGAACACACGGCCAGGCTGAAAACACCAAAGTTGGGCACCTCTCTAGGCGTGATCGTATTGAGTCAGGGGTTGGAAGGCTTCAGTTCTAGGCCTGATTCCCTGTGGCTTTACCCAAAAAAAACCTCCTCACCTCTCTGGGCTTCAGTTTTCTCCTTTGCAAAATGGAAACGATGATGCGGGCCATGCCTACCATGCTATCAGGTTCACACGTGTCCTGTTGACCGTGCCCTGTGACGGCGGGGGCGCTGTGTGGTTCTTGCCCATGGAAGTGCATGACCGGGAGCTATCAGGGGACTCTGGGGAAAGATGCATTCTGCTTCTGGTTGATGAACTCAATCCTCAGCTATCTCACCAGCTTATAATGCTCCCCACCTGCCCCCCACCCCACGCCTAATCCTTCCCATGCTCAGTTTCTGACAACCAGTGAAAATCCCTTTCCTTCCCCCACCCCACCCCCAACCTCGACCCAGCCCTCCTCCCTGGCAGGACTTCAGACATGACTCATGGCAAGGTAGCTGCCGAGGCACGTCCTGTCTCCTCTCAGTTCAGGAGAGGCGATGGGAACAGGGAGGAGTGGAGCACAGGGGGATTTGCAAGAGGAGGGGGCCAGGGAGGGAGGAAATGGAATCATTGATTTTAGAGCCAGACATGTAGTCAACTGTGGACTGTGAAACCCCAACAGGGTCCAGACTTGGGGAGCATGGGAGCCGCAGAAGCATCAGGGACCTGCAGAGGGGAGTGAAATAATGCTTCGCCCCTGGGATTTCCCATGGGGGTACAATTGGCACAGCACCCCTGCATTTCCTCCCCTCTGGCTAAGCCAACATGGTGGCAGAAGGCAGGGAGCGTGAGGGGAAGGAGGGTGTGGCCCATCGGCACACGCATCGTCAGCAGGTTCCCAGGAACTGCTATCCTGGTGAAGGGCCACATTCTGTTGAGATGTATGTTCTCTCAGTGTCTTGAGCAACCCCTCGGGTGGGTGTGGCCCCGAGCTGGGTAGCTGGGTGCTGTGGACACCCAGAGGAGCACCCTCTATCCCTGTCCTCCATGAACTTCTGGCCAAGCTGAGGAAGCACCAAGGTCAGCAGAGGAGTGGAAGGCAGACCTTCATGGCTGTGCGAGAGGGTTGCGCCAAGGCGGCCGTTGGCTGCAAGTATTGCAAGAGCCTCTAACTCCTTTCAATGGACCCTACTCAGCATCACACTAGAAGCCAGGTCAGAAGACCGTGGCTTTATGGTTGTGACTCTCCTTTGACCATAAATGGCATTGTTCTCTCCTCAAACTTTGCTCTGGTTCCAATATCAAACCCACTCTCAGGTGATGTGTCGCCGCGAAGGATAGATTCTATTTGAATATGTAATGGGTCGATGAGAGTCCAAAAGGGTGGTTTTTAAATGTTTAAAAAGCAGTCGTGTGATTTGGGACTTTTGCTTCAGATACCAGGAGCTCAATGTCCCTCCAATGTTCTTAAAACACAAAACAAAAACATATATTTAGAGGCGATGGCTGCGTAGATGACAGATTAAGAAAATTGAATCTAGAGAGTTAGTCTTGTCATTAAAAACCCAAACAGAATTTACAACAAAGTTAGTCTTACAAAAAAAACCAAACAGAGAGGCTTTAAGAAAGACTATTGGTTCAAAGAAGGTCCTCTTTCGACTGGCCACTCCTGCTTCCTCCTCCTTGGGAGACCTGTACCCGTGGGTGGCAGCATGGGGGGCCGGAGCCCTAAGAAGATGGAGCCAT